CCGGATTGCCCGAGTCGACTGGGGCGGCGTCGCGACCGAGGCGCGCCGCGCCCAAGTGTCCGAGGCCACTCGATCACCGAGACGATAAAAGCAAGTCAAAGCGATCACAATCTCGGCGTCGTCGGCGCATCGTGCCAGAATGAGCTGGGCAACGCGGCGGCCCTGCTCGACCACGTGCGCGCGCGGGCCGTCGCTGTGCACGATGACCTCGATCTCTCTGCAGTAGTCAGGGGCCACCACGCCGCCGGCGACGTCGATGCCCTTCAGGGCGAGTCCTGAACATGAGGCAATTCGCACGCACCGCACTCGGCGGCGCCAGCGCCGCTAGACCCGTAGACGCCAGTCCATGACCACAGGTAGAGAGTCTGAGATCGGAACAGGCGTAGAGGTCGAGCTGGCAGAAACGGGCGCACCGCGTGAAAAAGCCCTCGCATCCGAGCTGAGAAGCTGGATCTTCAGCTCGTTAAGCTCGCGCCCGTCGTCGTCGCAGCGATCCCGGTTGCCGCTACCTACCGCCAGCAGCGTGAGCCGCTTGGGTGGCAGGCCCCCGAGGCGCGGCTGGAGCGCGCCGAAGTCCGCTGCCGGGAGGCACAGATGCCCGCCCTGCTCCGACTTCAAGTCGAAGTGGACGGCGCCGAGGCCCCAGGTGATCTCTTCACCGCCTGGTCCATGGAGGGCGAGGCGCTGTTCTTCGCGCCTGTCTCCACCGCCCCTCTGTTGGACTGGATGGATTGCAGGCCCAATAGGGCAATGGGGGCCATCGCCTGCCCCCTCCGCGGCCAGAGCGCGCACGCTGCGCCGGCCGGTCGCACCGTCGCGGGAAATCGCCGCGATGGGGCAGAGAATCTCCCATTCTGCGACCTGCGACCCGCGGCCGACTCCTGCCGCGCGCGGCGGGGCGAGAACTGCTCGCCTGCACGGCCATCCGAGCCGAATTCTCTGCGGACGCCACGCCCGCGAGGTTAGCCCGGCCGCCCGATATTGGAGCACTTGCCAAATAGCATGGCGAATCGTTGCGCGAGCTCGAATCTGTACCTGATGATGTCGGCCTCCTGCCTGACGATTGCATGAGATCTTACCGCGGCGCCCCCGTGGCGGGGGCCGGCCGCGGCGTCCTGCTGCTTTGGCTCCTCCACCAGCGCAACTCCCTCGGGCGCCGCACGGGCTGGCACCGCGCGTCGAACCCGTCGGCCCACGACCTGCCGCAGTGGCTGGCGCCATGGGCGCCAGACCTGCGGGCGCGCGATCTACACCTGCAAAGCAGAAGTCGGCGATCATGCCGGCCAGTACGCGGCCCGCCAGGTAGTGACCAAGCTGGCGCTGGCGTTCTGCGCCGAGTGGAGGTGGCTCGCGCGGCGCCGAATGCGTCGGCGCTGCAGGCGTACCACCCTCTCGCCCTGAATCAAGGCCTCGAGACAGATGGGGCGCCCCCTGTCGTCGCCAGCGAGCGCGGCAACGGAGGGCGGCGCCGCGGGCGCTGCAGCGAGCCCAGAGGAAGGATTGGACTGGGCGATATGTCCGACTCTGCGCTGCACGGCGCCGCTGCTCGCCCTGCGGTCGAAGTAGCTCCAGCGCTAGCTATGTGCTGCGGAGCTCGTCGAGGCGTCGTCGTTGAGCGCAATCAACATCGAGAACGGCGTGCGCTCTGCGATGGGATCGGCCGCCGCCCGACATCCAGGTCTCGCGGCCAGCGAACCGCATGGCCACTCTCCCGGAAGGTTGGCTCACGTCTATTGGTCTGTCCAGATGGGATAAGGCCACGAAGTCGGGAGAGTCCGGCACTGGCGGCGACGCGGGCGCTCGTGCCGATTGCAATAGCCACGCGGAACTCGACGCATATGGCGCGCTGACCCCGAGCGAGGCCACTAATGGCACGCACGCCCGACTCGGAAACTGCACGTCGGCAGCCAGGATCGCGGGGGCTGCGGCGCGCGCGAGGAGGCCGCCCAACCAGGCGCGCCCTTGGGCCTGTCTCAGAAGGAACGCACCGCCCACCCGTGTCCACGGCGGCTTTGGCGACGCCGCCGGAACTGTCGGCGCGGCGGGCGCGGCCAGCGCTGGCCGCCCCACTGCCGCCGCGCGGGTCTGCGACGAGTCGCTGGGCCCGATGGCTGAGCAGAGGCTCGCACGCGGCCCATGAGGTCGGACATCTCCTTTCGTTGTCGTCGCTCAGCGCCGCGCAGGTTGGGGGGCGACGACAACGCCGACGACGCTGTCCCAGCGCAGGACCACCGGCCACGGCCAACCTGCTGGCGCGAGCCCTGGGGCGACGAACTCGGAGCGGTGGCCGCCGCCGCCGCCGCCCGCGGCGCCACCCATGCCGGCGCTGGCTGTCCGCCCCCCCACGGGTCAGCGCTCGGCACGGGGTCGCCCACGCCGGGCCCCAGCCATGGGCTGCGAAGTCCCGGCGGCGCCCCCGGTCACCCAGACCGCGCGCGCACCTGTGAAGGGCTGCTGGCGACACTCGGCGGCCCCCGCCGCCCGAGGCGCGCGAGCGGCG